AATGTATCTTGGAGCCTTTTCCAGATGAGTACATAAAGACTTCTACATTCTACTTGTACCGTACACTAGTCCTTTTTTTAGATGTTTCATTATTTGCTTACCCAGTCCCCTACTGATAGACATTTATGTTGTTTCCAACCTTTTGACATTCCAAACAGCACTGCAATATGACTTTGTACACTTCATACCATATGTGTGAAGGTACAGCAACAGGAGAAATCCATGGAAGTGGGTTTCTATGCAGCCCTTGCCATGGCACCAAGCCCCTGTGTGGTCACACTAGCTCCTTTCAACAGCAGTCCCCTTTTATTTCTCAAAGGGACCTTTGGTGATCATAGTCAGATTTTCACCTTCTCAAACCCCACTTCCTTCTTCTCCAGGGCCTTCCCATCAGTCTGCCACCAGAGCCCCTTCACAAGGTATCCTGGCCTCTAGATTTGGGAAGCATGGGTACTTGCCACGCCCACTCTGGGGTATGCTCTGCTCTGGCTATCAATCCATCCAGAGTGGTGGCTCCTTTTCCTTTTTAGCCCCCAAATCCTGGGCATCCATGGCAGGAGTAGGGAACCAGCTTTTTGGACCTCTACCATTCAGGCCTCCAGGCTTCCTGCCAAATGCTGCTGTCTCCCCAGCTGGTCCCCCAGTTGTGACTCCCTTCTTCTGACCATAGGATCATGCTATAAAATCTGTTCCCCTACTGTTTAAGATGTCCTATTTCATTGTCTCTAGTCCCCCAGAAATGAGTGGCCCCAGCTTTGAAGGAGGGTGTGGACGAGGGAAGATCACACAGAGCCCCTGTGAGAGGTGTTCTTGTAACTAATGGGGAGTCAAACTTCACGGCTGGAAATGAGGCCCTTGGCAGACTGGGAACCTCTGGGGTTGCCCAGATCTGTGATGTCAGCTCATGTAGCAGTTGTCACCATTTGGGGCTGACCTAGGCAGAAGATGAAGAGGAGGAACTCTGTCTGAAGGAGACATGTTCTCCTCCCCTCAAGGATGGAGACTGGGGAGAAGCAACCTCTATTCTCAGCGAACACATAGTTCTGTTGACGATCTGAGATACAACCTTTGTTCTCAACGAAGAGAGTTCTATTGATGATCTACTGATGAACTCCCTAGAATTCTATAGGGGGTCCCAGACAGAGAGAGATATGTCATACCTTTCTTTCTTCTTTCATTAATATATCCACATATCTAACATTAATTGAGCACCTACTGTGTGTCAGGCTTTGTGCCAGGCAGGAGGTAGAGTGATTAATAATGACGATGCAAAACATTTTTGAGCTCTTTCAGTTTCAGGCAGTAGGCTAAGTGCTTTATGTGCATCATCTCATTTAATCCTTACAGCAATCCAATGAGGTAGGTACAATTACTATCCCCATTTTGCAGAGGGAAAGATAAAGATGAACACACTATGAGCCCTGTTCTCAAGCAGCTCTGTCTAAAGCAGGGATCCCCAGCCTCTGGGCCACTAACTGGTACCTAGCTGGTGATCTGTTAGGAACCCAGCCACACAGCAGAAGGTCAGCTGCGGGTGAGCGAGTATTACCACCTAAGCTCCGTCTCCTGTCAGATCAGTGGCGGCATTAGATTCTCATAGGAGCATGAACTCTATCATGAACTGCGCATGTGAAGGATCTAGGGTGCGTGTTCCTTATTTTTTATTTTTGAGACTGGACTCTTGCTCTGTTCCCCAGGCTGGAGTGCAATAGTGCAATCTTAGCTCACTGCAACCTCCACCTCCTGGGTTCAAAGAATTCTCCTGCCTCAGCCTCCCAAGTAGCTGCGACTACAGACACCTGCTACCATGCCTGGCTAATTTTTTTTGTATTTTTAGTAGAGGCAGGGTTTCACGGGGTTTGCCCAGGTTGATCTCAAATTCCTGACCTCAAATGATCCACCCATCTCGGCCTCACAAAGTGTTGAGATTATCAGTGTGAGCCACTGCACCCAGCCTGTTGCATGCTCCTTAGGAGAATCTAACTAATGCCTGATGGCATGATATGAGGTGGAATGGTTTCATCCCACAACCTTCTGCCCACTACCACCTTGGTCCGTGGAAAAACTGTTTTCCATGACACTGGTCCCTGGTGCCAAAAAAGGTTGGGGACCCCGGTCTATAATAAAATCTACAGACTGAAAAACAAATAATGAAAACAGACAGAGCTAAGAGCTTTGGGAACATGGGTGGGAGTCAGGTGAGCGCAGAAGTGTTGTCAGGGAAAGCATCTCACAAACTTGATGTGTGAAATGAACTAAGAAGGACTAGGAGAAGTGAGCCATCTGCAAAGGTGAAGAGGGAAGAGCAACTCAGGTATGAGTAGAGTGCAGGAGTTGGAGGTAAGTCTGAACAAGCAGGTAGAGGCCAGGCTGCCAGGTATCCTGTGCAGACAAGCACCCTATATCCAGAAAGCGATGCAACCCTGGAAAAGCCTCAGGTTGTTGAGCAGGTAGCAGGTATCACTGGAGCCTCGTGCAAATCACACTTCCACCTTCTCCATTAACTCTGTAATCACAAGTACCAGAAGGCCTCCTGTTGATCTGGGGTCTCAGCAGTGCCCTCTGAGTGTATTAGCAGGAGAAGTTTCTCAGCTGCTCTTTCTCTTGGGTGGTGGTGGTGGATGGGGGAGGGTGGTATTTGCCAGAGTTGAATCTGTTCCCAGACCTTAGCCCTTCCCACCTGCTGATGTAAGAAATGAAGCCAAGCCCTGAAATATGGAGCCCTTCCAAGTATCTTAATCTAGGCTGAGGATGGGGGAAAGAAGGGTCTGACCTCCCAGCATGGCACTGCCCTCCCTGCCTTCCTCACTGCCCCATCCTGGAGCAGTGACACCCTCTCAGTTTCCTCTGAGGTTCCTATGCCAATTTCCCGGTTCCTATGCCAATCCTCCCCCCCCACCCCATTCACTTCTCACCCATCAAAGTGAGTTTTCTGTCAGATTACCTGTTCCCCATCCGGGTGAGATGAAGAGGACCCTGGCCTGGGAAATGGGATACTAGGGTTCTAGTGCCACCTCTGCTACCAGTTTGCTGTGTGGTTGTGAGCAAGTCATCCCTCTCTCTGGGTCTCAATTTCCCCATTGGCAAAATTAGCTTTGAAAAAATCTACAGTCCAATTTTGGAATGAATAACTTCAGTCTTTATTTACTGGGGGGTTGGGTGAGGTGGTTGGGCGGGAATGGGATGCCCACCATGCAACTCAAAGCACGGGTGGAGTGGATTCACGGTCTTTTTGGAGAAGGTCCAGCAGGAAGCAGGTCGGCTGTGCAGTATGGCCGGAGAATGAGCTCAGAGCAGGAAGGGGGAAGATGAACTGAACTCTCCAGAAGGCTTCTTTCTGGAGCAGGGATTTGAAACGGGGGTACAGGTTGGAAAAAAAAAAAAGGCAAACATAAGCAAAGAGTGGAGTCCGGAGGTTTTAAGTCTTTGGATAACTTTTCCAAGCGGGTGGAACGGGAGTAGGGTGAGGAAAGTGTGCTGGGTCTCAGACCTTGTCCTCTGTCTAGCTCCTGACCCTTTGCGTGGATGAGAGGTTCCTCCAGAGGTCGCTGTTCCCCAGGAATCCATCCGCACCGCCAAGCCAGAGCTCCCGCTGTTCCCCTGGCTCCGCTTCTGTGAGGCTTACACGGCTCTGCATCTGCCCAGAGGACACAGGGACCTGGCAATATTTCTGCGCCCACGAGAAGACTTACGGCCTTGCCAGTTACTCTGCCTGGGAAATAGGTCCCTATGGTTCTGCACCCTCCCTCCTGCCCTGCCCCAATTCAGGGCCTGGGAAGGGCGTCCGGTTGCTGAAGTGCCACTGTGTCAGAAGGCCGCGTGTAATTGGTAGGAAGGAAGCTGCCGCTGAAGTATTCTTGGCTATCCCACAGGGCCATCCCTGCATGAAGTCCTCCTTTTCCATGCTACAGTCACAGACCCTCAACCCAGGCGCACCCTCACACATTCTCCTTCCCCACTAGGGTCTCACTGCTGACTCCAAGCAGGTTTGCAGTCCCCGACCAGGTAGCATGGCTTCAGGCTTTGCCTGGATGATGAGCCTTCCAGGCAGTCCTGCTGGGTCCACTGTTGGACACCAAGCGTCAGGTCTGGAGGGGAAAACCGCGTGTGAGGTCTGGAGGATGCAGGACACAGGACGCAAGATAGGCCCGTCAGTCAGGGTCGCAGCCCACCATACGGAGCCACTGTTGTCCAGAGGGCAGACACGTGAGGATAGAGAAAGAGAGGCTCGGCCCAGAAGAGCGCACTTAGACCTGAGGTTCTCGCCCCCACACACCTGGAAGCGGCCCCCACTGACCCTGTCCACCTCTGCTCTCAAGAGCATGGAGCCTTCTCTACCACTCCATGAACTCTGTGGATCTTCGGAACTGGTGCTTTTCAAGCGGCGCTGTTTTCACTCTCTCCTGAGGTCGCAACCCTCTTCCCACAAACAGCAGCCGACAGGCTCCGCAGCTCACTTCGGTCGCCACCGCGGCAGTACTCGAGTGCAGGGTGCTTAAGCGAGCCCCCTACCACATAGTTCACGGTTTGGGGTGGAGGGGATGGGGCTGGGAATGGAAATGGCCAAGAGTAGTGGAAAAAGAAGATGGAAATTCGTACTTTCGAACTTTGCCTGGCAGACGTGTAGACGCTACGGCGGAGGCACCTGCTCTTGTGCCAGCGCCTGGAAGAGGGCAGGTGGGCTGCAGAGTTGAAGGTGCACACACTGGGGCCCCAGTCATTTCTGTGCATGCCAACGCGAACACATCTGAGGTCTGCCCCCGCAGGTCACAGGATCTGGAGTCTCCCGGCTTAAGTGAGCTGATCGCTCCTGAGCAGCCGAAGATCCGGGTGGAGAAAGGAAATGTACCGGCTAAGGCTAGACAGCTGTCTCATTTTGGAGCCGTAGCTCGGTCTGGAGTGGGAAGGAGGGGGCTAGCCCTAGCCTCAAAGCTTTCCCCGAGGCTGGCCAGTTTTGTGAATAAAATGAGAAGTCTGCGGGCATAGCTCCCCAGCCCAGTTCAGGCTTCCGTTTGCAGCCAGGCGCCGGCCGAGCTCGAGCAGCTGAAAAGGGCCGTGTGAGATCCTTCCATAGTGCTTCGGAACAAACTCCGCCTCCAGCCAGTGCCGCTCTCTGCCAGTATCCCAACTGACTTAATTAGATCCACATAATCGCTGGATGGCTTTTCTTTCCCAGAGCCGAAAACAGCTCGTTTATGCAAACCGTAAGGAAGAGAGGGGAGAGATGACCCGGAGGTCACTGATAGCAGCGTATTCTTCGCAAAAAAAAAAAAAAAAAAGAAAAAACACCCAGTAACTAATGGAAAACTCCAACAGGCATCCCCCTTCGCCCGACAACGCTTCCTTCCAATTGTTATGGGCTGCCGGAGGGAGATGGCTGGGTCGTGGAGCAGATGCAGAAAGAGGCCGGGCAGGACCAAAGACCCTGTAACCAAGACCCGAAGAGCCTGTGGCCTCCTGCTCTTCCGCGGCTGCAGCCAAAGGCTTCCGGGAAAGTGTGTAGGTTTTTGTGGAGGGAGGGACAGACTCATGCGGGATCGCAGGCACTGCTCCAATACGCCGAAGAGGCTGAGCCCACAGGCGAAAGAAGAAGGGATCACGGGAGAAGCAAAGAAAACGAAATAAATTCCAAATCCCACAGTTGCCCTTCTCCCAGGCCCCAGTGCACTTACTCCTGACACGGTTGAAAACAAACTGGCCCAGAACCTTGGGAGGGATAAGAAGCTACCAGAAATCCCTCTATAGAGTGGAGCTCGGTTAGGGAAACAGTTATTTGGATAAACAGAGTTCCGGGCTGGGAACCCGGACACCTAGGTCTACTCAGCTTAGGGCCCCTCAAAAGCCTGACAAGTAACATGATCTCCTGGACCTCAGTTTCCACTCCTGTAAAAAGTATGCATGGGAAGGATCTGGATTCTCCCTCCCCAACCCTGCAGAGCACAGGTTGGGGATTCTGTACTCCCTTTCCCCAGTGTAGGTCTCAGTAGCGGTGAACAGGCCAGGCAGAGGCAAGGGCTGGCTGCTGCAGCTGCTTGGTAGAACTTCTTGTCTGAAGCAGGAAATTTAGGCAGCAAATGCCCTGGCTAGTACTACCCTGATTGGAGCCTGGGGTGCCAGGGGAGTGCTGACAAGGAAGGAAGCTACCGGTTCCCATTTGCCATTTTAGAAATGAGGACATTCAGGTCGGGGCACGGTGGCTTACGCCTGTAATCCCAGCACTTCGGGAGGCCGAGACGGGCAGATCACCTGAGGTTGCAAGTTCGAGACCAGCCTGACCAACATCGAGAAATCTCATCTCTGCTAAAAGTACAAAAAATTAGCTGGGTGTGGTGGCAGGTGCCTGTAATCCTAGCTACTCAGGAGGCTGAGGCAGGAGAATTGCTTGAACCCAGGAGGTGGAGGTTGCGGTAAGCCGAGATTGCCCCATTGCACTCCAGCCTGGGCAACAAAAGTGAAACTTCGTGTCCAAAGAAAAAAAAAATTAGCTGGGTCTGGTGGTGCATGCCTGTAATCCCAGCTACTCAGGAGGCTGAGGCAGAACAGCTTGATCCTGGGAGGCGGAAGTTGCAGTGAGCAGAGATGGCGTCATGCACTCTAGCCTAAGCAACAAGAGCAAAACTGGTCTCAAAAAAAAAAAAAAAAAAAAAAAAGAAAAGAAAAGAAAGAAATGAGGACATTCAGAAGGTGAAATGGAGTAGGATGATGCCAACACTTTTTCTCTCTACTTATTTAGACACTAGCAGAGCTGAGCTGTGTTGGAATTGGTGTGTGGTCCAGTGTGGCTTATCTGTGAGTGGGGTTCTGGGTGTGTGAGACAGATATCCATGTAGTCAAGAGCAAGCTTGAGGTATGTGTAGGGTTGCCAGATAAAATAAATCTGCTAAATCTAGCAACCCTAGGTATGTGAGTTTCCTCGGACTCATGCAAGAAGCTTCTCTGCAAGACCTTTTGCCCCAGTCAGTCCGTCACCCAGTAAATTCCAATTCCAGGGCCACCAGTCCCTGTCCAATTTACTGTCCACGGTTTGAAGACTATATTTCTTTTTTCCCCCAAGGGCAGTTTATGCTGGAACAGTGCGGTAAGTGGATCCCCTTGGTCAGAAGTCCCAGAGGGGGCCCAGGCGACTTGCTCTCACAGGCCAGACCTGCCTTCCATTTTTTTCTGCCCTTAGCTTGGGAGGATGAAGAACTCTATTTTGAGGATTCTGCGAAAAGGATTGCAACCCAGCCATGTTTTATCTCCTTGCAGGAAACTGGCTGAGTTCCTCCTCCCTATCCTGGGCCTCTGTGGCTCCATCTGTGGGATGGGAGAGTTAGATTAACACCAGGCTATCCCATAGATTGGAGGCCGCTGTTAAATGAAACTGCAAAGTGCTGTCAATACCGTTTTCATAAACGGCCTAGAATATGGCTACACTGCACACATTAGTTGGGGGTTAGGTGTTACTAGTCTCATTTTTACAAAAGCAGAAGCAGAGCAAAGAAACTTGCCCACGGTGACAGAGAGGGTAAGTAGTGAAGCCAGGATTGGAACCCCAGGAGCCTGACTTAAGGTCGCTGCCCTTAACTACTATGCAGACCAGGAAACTGCGGCTCCAAAGCGGGGAAGTCACCTAATGAGGGTCGCACAGCGTTGGGACAGCGGAGGCAGCTGGGATTCCAGCCTCGCACGCCCGAGCTTTGGCCACTGTGCGGCGCTGTCGGGGCAGCAGCCCAGGCAACCGCTCAGTTCTTGCTCACTTCCAGCGCCCATCTCCCGCTCCGTGCCCCAGAGGCTGAAATGGGCCCACTCTGTATAGACGCTACTTGTTTCTGGGTCCTGGAGGCCAAGGGAGAAAGAGATCTAACAGGATGGGCAAGAACCCGGCTGGAGAGAAACAATGCAGAGGGCCAACCTCACTTGCACCAGATTCTGGAGAGATGAAGGCAACACTTGGTCGAGGTCAGGGTTCACTGAGGCGGGGTCGGGCGGGGGGCGAAGGGGGGGGTCCTGCCGCCTGTCCGTGGAGCCCAGAAGCCTGGGAGCCAGGAAGATCGGGGGCGTCCAGTCCTCGGGGCGACTGGGTCCGGGGAGAGGGGAGGGAGAAATTAAGCGGATCCCCAGACTATGAACAGACAGACACCCAGACAAATGCCGTTTCCACAGAGACTCACGAGAGTGAGAGACAGTTACAGAGACTGAGACAAACGGATGCCGACACCGAGAGGGTCGGAGAACAGGCAAACTCCGAGCGGCAGACCGGCCCGCTCCCCGGGAACGCGGCCACAGCGGCCGGCGCCCTCCCCGGCCTCCCCGCGCGGAGAGGGGTGGCGGGCCCGACCGTGGAGGGAGGAGAGGGCGCCGCCGCAATCTCACCTCTCCCAGGCCCGAGGCTGCGGGCGGCAAGTTCGCTCCTCGCGATCACTCGAACGCGTCTCCCCTCGGGCCGGAAGCCCTGCGGGCTCGGGTGGGCCCCGGCGGGCCGCACAGCGGCGGCGTGGGTCCCGGCGTCTCAGGATCGCTCTCCCACTGCGCTTCGGCCCGGGTGGCCCGGGCGCCGCCTTGAGGAGGGGACGCGTGCGGACCGCCGCCACTTCCCTGGCTGCGGCTGGCGCCCGCGCGGGCCTTAACATCCAGGGTCTGAGCGCTCTGGAGCCGGCGGCTCCAGGGAGCGCAGGGTGCGGGAGCGGCGGCGAAGACGAGGGCCAGCCTCGGGCCACTGGAGCCCAGCTCCCGCGGCGGCGGCGGCGGTTGGCTCCCGCCGGGCCCCTCAGCAGAGGCGCTACGCCCGCCCCTGCCGCCTCGTCCCACCCCGCCCAGGGAGCTCCGCCCTAGCCCGTGGCTCTTCCGCCTTAGGCAGCCGCTAGGCGGGAGGGACAATCCCCCACCCCCGACTGCCACCCCGAGGGGACTAGGGGCCGAGGCCCGCCCAGGTAAGGCAAGGCCTCAGCTCCTTCCGCCGCGCTCTGGCGGCGGGTCCCGGCTCGGGCTCCCGGGGTAGCGGCGGGGGCCGCCGGCGGGGCGTGCCCTGGAAGGTGAGCGCGGCCGAGCTGGGCCGCCAGGGGGCGCTGCGGAGCCAGGGGCTCGCTGCCCGCCTCAGTCCTCCGCCCCCACCCCGCCCGCGCGCAAAACACACTCGCCCTAGAGGCAGCGCGGCCGAGCCGGAGCCACTGCCGGAGCGGAGCCGGAGAGTGGCGGCGGCAGCGGCGGCAGCGGCACCATGACCCTGGGCAGCTGCTGCTGCGAGATCATGTCCTCCGAGAGCTCCCCGGCCGCGCTGTCCGAGGCGGACGCAGACATAGACGTGGTGGGCGGCGGCAGCGGCGGGGGGGAACTCCCAGCCCGCTCCGGGCCCCGCGCCCCCCGGGACGTGCTCCCCCACGGCCACGAGCCTCCCCCGGAGGAAGCCGAGGCAGACGTAGCCGAGGACGAGGAGGAGTCGGGTGGCTGCTCGGACGGCGAGCCCCGCGCTCTGGCTCCTCGGGGGGCGGCGGCCGCAGCGGGGAGCCCAGGGCCAGGCGCGGCGGCGGCCCGCGGTGCAGTGGGGCCCGGGCCGGGACCGCCGTCGGGGGGCGCGGCGACGCGGAGCCCGCTGGTGAAGCCGCCCTACTCGTATATCGCGCTCATCACCATGGCCATTCTGCAGAGCCCCAAGAAGCGGCTGACGCTGAGCGAGATCTGCGAGTTCATCAGCGGCCGCTTCCCCTACTACCGGGAGAAGTTCCCCGCCTGGCAGAACAGCATCCGCCACAACCTCTCGCTCAACGACTGCTTCGTCAAGATCCCCCGTGAGCCGGGTAACCCCGGCAAGGGCAACTACTGGACGCTGGACCCGGAGTCGGCCGACATGTTCGACAACGGCAGCTTCCTGCGGCGCCGCAAGCGCTTCAAGCGGCAGCCTCTGCCGCCGCCGCACCCACACCCGCACCCTCATCCGGAGCTGCTGCTGCGTGGCGGGGCCGCGGCGGCGGGGGACCCGGGCGCCTTCCTGCCCGGCTTCGCTGCCTATGGCGCCTACGGCTACGGCTACGGGCTGGCTCTGCCGGCCTATGGCGCACCCCCGCCAGGGCCGGCCCCGCATCCGCACCCACACCCGCACGCCTTCGCCTTCGCCGCGGCAGCCGCCGCCGCTCCTTGCCAGCTCTCGGTTCCCCCAGGCCGCGGCGCCGCACCTCCAACCGGACCTCCGACGGCCTCAGTGTTCGCGGGCGCGGCATCGGCCCCAGCTCCTGCGCCCGCCTCAGGCTCGGGCCCGGGCCCTGCCGGCCTGCCGGCCTTCCTAGGCGCGGAGCTGGGCTGCGCCAAAGCCTTCTACCCCGCGTCCCTGAGCCCTCCCGCAGCCGGTACCGCGGCGGGTCTGTCCACCGCACTCCTGCGCCAGGGCCTCAAGACGGACTCGGGCGGTGGTGCGGGCGGCGGGGGCGCCGGGGCAGGGCAGAGGCCTTCCTTCTCTATAGACCACATCATGGGCCACAGTGGCGGCGGGGCAGCACCCCCGGGCACCGGTGAGGGCTCTCCGGGACCGCCATTCGCGGCAGCCGCGGGTCCTGGGGGCCAAGCCCAGGTCTTGGCCATGCTGACTGCTCCGGCCCTGGCTCCCGTGGCTGGCCACATTCGCCTCTCGCATCCCGGGGACGCGCTCCTGTCCTCAGGGTCCCCGTTTGCTAGCAAAGTCGCCGGCCTCAGTGGCTGCCACTTCTGACCGCAGCAGGCCCAGGGCCTGTTAGGTCCGCACTCCTCAGCCTCTCCCAGGAGCTCTTGCGGTCCCAGCGGAACTCAGGGAGTCTATTTATGAAGTCTCCAGACCTTGGACCGGCACGCGTGACTCGGCACTTCATGCTCCACGCACAGAATCTCGCAGATAGTTGGGATTAAGTGGGCTCTGTCGCTCAGGGCGACAGGCCCGGGGCTACGCGTCGCAGCCAAAATCCTTAACCATTTGAGAAATAAAAGCTGGGGCGGGTGGGGGCTTCGTTTTTTCCCTGCCTCTCGGAGAGAAATCATTCCCGGAGAGATGCCTGGCCAGGCCCCACGGATCTGCCAGAAACACCAACAGAGGGTCTCCCTTTCTGCCTCTCCCCACTCACTTCATCCCCAACGTTGAGACCCTGCTTGTCCAACATTATAATTTAAAGACATCTATTATCTGCTTTGTGCTTAAAAGAAAAATTCAACCTTTTTTTTTTTTTTTTTTTGTTCTCCAAGGAAGTTCATTTCCTGTGAAGCCTAAATCAGTGTCTACGCAGGCGGAGCTGAATGGAGAGGTGAAGCAGGGGTCTTTATATTCCCTGCAGAAACCCTGAATCCCACTCCACTGAGGAAAACCCTTTCTCTTTTGTGTTTGGGAGTTTTTAAAGGAATTTCTTTCCCGTGGCTGGCTGGGTCCAGCCATCCCGGGCCAGCAGCCCTGTCAGTGTTCCACCCTGTCCCAGGCCCTGTGATATTTATTGTGGCAAAAGGCAATGAGGTTGGGTGGAAGAGAGGGGTCTGGGCCCGGGACTGGAGAGGCAGGGGTGGAGTGGGCAGGGCACACTCTGTGGCAGGGGGTCCTGTAATTTTGTGTAAATATCTGTACAGCGGGCTGCTCTCAGCGTTCTCTGTCCACTGGGTGTGCATTGATTTAGACTTCTCCACTGTGGGGAAACTCTGTGAAATCGTCTGATGGTCTGTGTGGAAGAAAAGAAAAATCTGTCTACCCCTATTCCCCATTGGTGTCAATTGAATAAATGTATGTGAACTTCAGCAGTCACCAGCTCTCTCTGCTTGCCTGCACTCCCTTGCCCCGATGGGGCTCTCCCAGAAGACCCTTAGCTCCTCAGCAGAGGGGGTGTGAGGAAAGGCCCCTGGGCAGCCCAAGCAGGCAGAGGAGGGCTGAGCTTATAGGAAGCAAGGGACACTTTGGTCTTGGCCTTCAGCTGTGAATGAGGCCAGATCTCTGGGAAGCCTGTGGCCCCTTCGGCACTTTCATTTTCGTTCTAGTCCTTAGAAGGTTTTTGCCTGGAGTTTTGCCTGGGGTGGTGTTTCAAATGCACCTGAGGATTCTCATGCCCTTCTAGTTTGGACATTAGCACAGCCTGGGCAGATATGGGTGCTAAGTGCTTGTGAACACTCTACCCACTAAGTACAGTTTAAGGTGAATACGTCTGGTGATGCATACTCCGTATGCCTCTGTTTTTGAGTGTGGGGCTTTTGTGGAACTTATGATACGTTTTTGTGTTAGGGTGGGCACAGCTCCTTGCTTTTTGTCTTAGTGTGTGTGTGTGAAATACATCTCAGAATATATGCATTTTTATTTCTATGTATGTTGGTGAATATGTCTTTGTGTGTGTTTGTGATTCTCAGTCGCTGTCTTTCTGTCTGCGGAGAGAGAGGTTTCTCCCTTGTGGCTGTAGGGCTTTGTCTGGAATCCCCTCTCCCCCTACCATTCCCAACACATGTAACAGAGTGAAAGGCTTGAACTGGGGACTGTGGAACCTTTCTTTCCTCCAGCTAGAGCTGAGCACTATGAACTGAATGATACAGTCAGTGGGTTTCACTCAAGGTAAAACTTCCCATTCCTTCAGCTAGACTCAGCTGGAAGCTACTGCCTGAGTGCAAATCCACTGGTCTGGTTAGAGTCTTCCATAAACCTACTGAGTCTCTCAGCTCTCTGCTTGTGCCCAGGACTCCCAGTGGCCAGACTTGTCAGGGTGTTGAGTGAGAGGTGATGCTTTGAGTTAGGCAAAGATGATTGCTTAGCTCTTTTCTCTGTATATTCTAGTGAGATTATAGGAGAGGAGAAACAGAAGTGCAGGAAGAGGCAGTGTAGCCTTCACAGAAAACAGACACATGTTGAGGGCAAGGGTTGGGAGATGAAGTGACAGACCGAGAAGGAAGAAGACAGGGTCAGAGACCCAGATGCAGAGAACTTGAGTGGGGTGAGCGACACAGGCCTCTTCAGCTAGGTTCCCTGCCTCTGGCAATAGTAGGAAAGAAGGAGGAGGAGGAAGACTGAGATTACTATAGGAAGAGTGTCAAAATCAGAATTAGAGTGGGAAGAACACACCAGAGCTGGGAAGGGTTGTTTGGGATTCCCAAGTGTCTCACGACTTTCACCAATGGAGGAGGGACGAGGCTCAAGGTGCATATAGTACATGCAGTCCCTCTGCCAGAGGCAAGGCACCCCTCTCCTTGTTGAGAGACTGTGGGAGTGGAGGGAGGTTGAATGCAGTGGGCCACCTTCCCACCATTTTATCAAATGGTCCAGGTGAAGTAAGGTTGGGTTCAATGGTATAAAGGGAGAAACAACTGCTGATGCTGGGATGATGGTCTCTGGCTGGTTGCTCCGTTTACTTCCATTTCTTTGAGGTTGATTTCGTTTCTTTTCTCTGGAGAAAGGGTGACTGTGACTGAAGAAACATGAACGCACACGAGTGTGTGTGTGTGTGTGCGCGCGCGTGCGCGCGCACGTGCCCACACACTCAATAAAGCACTTTGTAGCTATGTGATCTCATTTACCATGAATATGTGACTCCTAGATATTAGATTGGAGCTTTACATAAAAGATTTATCAATTGTGTAAATATCTGTACTGCGGGTTGTTTAGAGGAGAAAATTAAGTCAGTTATGTCTGATGGTGGATAGTGAGATACTTCCTATTTATAGGAGACGCAACAAACCTGTGTGTGTCTGTGTGTGTGTGTGTGTGTGTGTGTGTGACAGAATTTATCTGAGCATATTGCTTGGTGTCTATGTGTATTGGAGGATCCATATCAGGAAAAGGTAGAAAAAAGAAGACTGGGAA